AATAGTCAATCACTGTACCGGGTGACCTTGTTACTTGGTTGTATTGTACCAAGAAGGCTGCAACCCTGTAACAATATATAAAAACTTTTTATGAAGTGTAATAACTTAGTAAAGTAGTTAGGTTGTCAACCTTTCAAGTAGTAGATAGGATATTCAAATTTTATTAATAGCAAAAATTTAAATAATTATTTATATAATATTTGTATTATGACAATTGTTACTAATAATTAGATTAGAATATTTGTAATAACAATTGCACCAGTATGACTAACAGGTCATGAGGCATCTGTGCAATATTAGAGTTATACAGAAGAATGCAAACTAACAACTAGATGGTACAAATACTAGATAAGTTTTTGTAATTATATAAATCTGTTGAAATTAGGTAACAAGAAGTCATTTGAAAAGATTTGAGTAAAGAGGTAGCTGAATCTTTAACAACACTACTGTAAAGTCTAATTTGAGAAAACAGATACTCAGATCTTAGTAACTAGATAGGCAAGAACTTTCAAGTTAAAAGTTTCAGAAATATTACCAATTAGGTTGCTAGAATGAACTAGAGGAAAAAGATATTAGATTAACCTAATATATTGATAAACTGGTCATAATCTTATACAAGCTATTTGGATTAGAAGTTTGACAAAATTCAAAGATATACTAAAATACTAGGATTATACTATAAAGTAGATGCTAGAGTCTAAGTAAACTCTACAAAAACATAATGATTTAATAGTTAAATCCTGATCACAAGTATTGGTTCTGTTATAACAATATCTAAATCAATTATAAAAAAGATACAAAAGACTCTAAAAGATTTATCTTGAAAATAAATTAGTTTTAAGATTAAGATGATAATCTGAGTATCTAGGTATGATCTAATAAGTTAATACAGATTATAGGTTCAAAGGGTTTAAAAAGAACACCAAAACAGAAGTATTAGGTACAGTAATTGGTAAGAAACCTTTGAACAAACTTTTTAAATAAGTAATATAGAAAAGTTATATGTGTAACCAATTGTATACTCTTCTGTAGTAGTTTATTGAATCACAATACTGATATATAAGTGATTAAAAGACTAAAGAGATTACCTTAACACCAAAAAAAAAAAATAAAACCTTTTTATAATAAAATATGCTTATTCATATGCAAATTTAAATTTAATTGTTTAAGAGATAAAATAATTCGTATTGTAATAATTACAATAATAATTTTAATTGGCTAATTAAGTAGTCATATGACAAGTACCAATCAGTAGTCATATGACAAGTACCAAGTGTTGATCTACGATCAACCAATAAATGGATTTTTAACCATGCTGGGAAGATTGCATTTCCTTACCCAAATCAACCTGAATTATTAAAATTAGTTTAGTTTGTAAATTATTGCATTTTTTATTCATAACTATATGATTTTTCATATTTCAAAAACTTTCGGCATTCCAACATCATATAAAAGTAATAGTAATTCTCCTCAAATTGTTTGCTACGATCTACCACTTTATATGAATGTCAAAAAAATTGGTGGAAAGTAGAAAAATAATGTTAGGAAAATGGTACTCTAAAGTCACGAGCATTTTTACTGGATAATATTATTGATTATTTGTATATATTATATTTATATGTTTTTTATTTTGTCAATAATAATATCGTTCCAATGGAATTTCTCACCGGAAAAATCAAAATACCCAGTAGTGTTTCAACTTCCAGAAAACAACCGTTACAAATAAATTGAATCACTTTATTTTTTATACAAATACGTATATATATATACAAAAATAAATAAATAAATAAAAGCACAGTAAAAAGATAAATATCACGATTATTGGTCGATCAGATAATAAGGATAACAAGACACAATATAGATATCGAATACTTCAGGGAATCCAGAAATATAACTTTGAGTAACCTTCATGCCATAAAAACTCTGATAGTAAATTTTAAAGTACCATTTATGTACAGCCGCAGAATATGCAGTAGTCGCAATAAAATTCTTAACAAACTTGTTTTTTAATTCTTGGTTAAACAGGGACCGCATGAACAGGGTCCACTTAAACGAGTATGCATTTTAATTACTATTTACTATTCAACAATATATGCATTATAGTTATACGAACGTAGAAATTAAAAGAATAAAAATAAATTATATATTTATATATTTAGTTTATCCTTTATAAGCGTGCATATGTGTACGTAGATATTTAATCAAGCAACTATGTATCATATCAATAAAAAAAAAATATATATATATATATATAAATTATTCGATAATAGTTTCGTTTTGAAGTTTTGCCGTTTCTTCAGCCGATATAGTGGGAACAGGAAAATCGCGATCACTTTTTTCCAGTAATTCTAAGACTTCTTTATCTTCAGTCTATTGCATAAAATGTAAACATATTTAAATGTAAAGAAAGAAAAAATCTCACATTAAAAAAAAGGAAAATTACCTGAGTAAAATCTTGATACCATGCACCGATGCCACCTAAATTTCTTGGTAGCAGGAGGCAAATGGTATCATCAATTTCTTTATTCATCTTTATAAGGGTATCTGGTGCTGCGACCGGGACGGCAATGACTAATTTTTTAGGGTTACTGGTATGACATAAATGATAAATAAGTTAACTAAATGCAAAAGAATGAATGACTAAACTTAATATAGAAATGTAAATACAGTTTCTTCAGGGATGTATAAGCAGCCCTCATCGTTGCACCTGTCGCAATACCATCTTATACAAAATAGATTAATATAATAAGATCTCGATATATTTATAAAGATATATTAAACATCAATATAAAGTACGTAAATAAATATGAACCATCAACAAGAATTATGGTCTTTCCGGTAACATTGGGGGCTGGTTTTCCTTTTCTATACTTTTCATTGCGACGTTGCAGCTCGGCACTCTGATTATAGTAAAAGGATTAACGTTAAAATAAAATTATCATTATAGTAATGATTACGTAGTTTTTTTAAAATTAAACCTACATACGTACCTCCCGTTTCATAACACGATTAATTGATTCTTGATTAATATGAAGCATATCGATAATATCTTCATTGAAGATACTGGATGTTTCAGTGATGGCTCCCATGGCCAATTCCTCATGACTACGAATTAAATGCAAAAGTTTATTCACTTATCACCAATAGTGATAGATCAACGATTCATACCATCCGTGGTCACGTGAAAGCTTTGCGGAAAAAGGTGCTATATACTATGTTTTATCATACCATAGAATACCCTTTTTTAAATTCAATTCCACCTTTGTAAAAATTTAAGTATTGAAAACCTGCTAGCACTAGTTAAAACGCGTAACCATAAATTCCGCAAAATATCTTATGTCACGTGCTCGTTATTTACAAACTCACCCTTCGACACCAATTTTTCTGACCAAGAAGACATCCAATGGGGCTTTAATGCGTTGTGAAATTTGATAAGCAACAGGAACTCCACCTCTAAATATATGACGAAGGTGAATCTAATAAATCTAAGACTTTGTCAGTGCGAAGCGAATGATATACCTTGGTAAAGCTAAAATGATAACATCTTTATTGTCATTATTATATTTTTTTGCTACTTCATCCGCCAATAATTTACCAGCCTGCACTCGATTCTGCAATTTTTCAAGCATTTTTTTTTTACAAGATATTTTTTTTTTAAAAAGTTGCAAATGAACAAAAGGCGTTTTTTCATATGATTTATATAACATTCTTTAATGTAGTCATAATATCCATAATGTAATAATTATGTAATAACGATAACCATTAACAGTTAACGTTAAGAAATTGATTGATCATACCACCTAACGCTATGATTTTTTTTTTTTTTCGCACGATATTATCACGTTACGTTTTAGCCACTGCCGCATGTAAAGGTCTTTGCTTTTTGAAATGCCCATGCGATGAAACTGGAATCCAATTTAGAAAACAAATTCCATGTTTCGTATGTTTCGGAATTAAACGGATGTTATCATTTCCATCTTTAAAAAAAATTGATGGTCATCGTTATACAAAAAACTTTATTAAAACTCGATATACAGTAAACCAAAGTTCTTTACTATCAACTAATCCATTGAAGTATATTAATTAAAATGGACGGTGAACGTAGAAAAGAAGAATTGGCAAAGAAGAGGCAAAAGCTTGCTGAGCTTAGGCGTGCAAGAGAAGAGCGCAAGCAAGTCTTTAGTAATAATACTGACCCTAAGCCCACCGATTTGGTAATCTTTTTTCTTACTATTTATCATAATCTCGTTTAATCTTTGACTCAATTGTCTTTATTTATATTAGGAAAGGGATCGCAAGGAAAAGGAGATGATAGAGGTAGATAATCTTGTCAAAGCGTTACTAGCAGATAAAACTGTACGTCCCGGAACTCCATCTAATCCGGAAGATTCTGATGGTTCTGATAAAGGCAAAACTGAAAGGGGAAGGAATTTCTCTCTTTCTATGCATTCTCAACATTCACAATACTCTCCAAGTACCTCGGTTCCTCAAAGGTAAGGTTATTTTTTGACCGTTGAAACGTTTACTATTATTATTATTATTATCTTATTATTATTATTATTATTTATTATTATTATTATTATTATTCCTTTCTCAATATTAACTGTTTCATTTTATAGCCCTCAAATACCAAATCTCACTACTCGTTATATTCCTGATTTCTCATCGTTCGATGCTGTTATATTAGATATTGCTCCAAAGGTATTAAAAAATCCCTAAATATTTCGGTATTATGCCAATTTTATAGTTATAATCTTTACATTTAAAATTTTTTTCCTATGTTAGGAAATCGTTTTATATAGTAAAGAAGTACAGACTTCTGAAAACTCTTTTGGTCCTCCACCACCTTCAGAAGACGAAATCCGTTCAAAAATTGTAAAAGAATTAGAAGAAATTGAAAGACAGGAACGACAAGCTCAAGAGGAACAACGAGCGAGATTAGAGGCTGAAAAGAAAAAAAATCAAAAAGATAAAAGTAATTATGATTTATTTAATATTCACATATATACTTATGTTATATATATATATTATATAGTTTATATTTTTAACCGTTTTTTATTCTTTATAAAGATATAACTGATGAGGAAAGGAAGAAAATCGTCAATTCTGCTGACTTTGCTGATTTTATTGATCATACTACCAAAATTGTTGAGAGAGCTCTTAATGAAAATTATGACTTTATGAAAGATTATAGTATTAGTAAGGATGTAGAAAGGTAATTTTACTTCATATATCCAACGTAATAATATCTTTGTTTCTTATTAATATTAATATTAAAATTCATATTACTCCTTTTACTATCTAACTTTTATAAGTGATGAGAAAACTGGAAATCGTGTCAAATACATGTGCTCATTTTTTGATGACAAATGGAGTAAAAATCGTTCTGTCACTGATGTTAATTGGTCGAAAAAAGTAAGTTCTAATCTTATATTTTATGTTATGATTAATAATTAAGAATTTTTATTCCAAATATTAATTCATTACTGTAGAATCCTGAACTTGTTGTTGCTTCGTATAATAAAAATCCAATTGCTATGAATGAACCAGATGGTGCTGTTTTAGTGTGGAATTTACGATTACTTGAACGTCCAGAATTCGTTTTCCATTCACAGGTTAGTAAATTTATTAGTAATATAAATATCGTCCTAAGTAATATTTTCTTACTATATTTTTATATTACGTACTTAGTCGGATGTACTTACTGTTGCATTCTCAGATTTTCATCCAAAATATGTTATTGGTGGTACTTATTCTGGGCAAATAGTGCTATGGGATATGAGAGCAAAATCTTTACCTGTTGTCAAAACTCCTCTTTCTGCTAATGGTCATACCCATCCTGTTTATTCGATGCAAATGGTGGGTACTCAAAATGCTCACAATCTCATCACTGCAAGTACGGACGGTTTAGTATGTTCTTGGGAATTAGACAAATTAATTGAACCTCAGGTAATTTCTAATTTTTTGTTTTTTTGCTAATGCGTTTGTTATGAAATTATTTACCTTTCTAAATTATTACAATTATTTATCTTTCTAAATTATTATAATATTTTATAGGAACATTTAGAATTGGTACATTCTGGACATCATAAAACTGATGAGGTTTCAGTTACTGCTCTTGGTTTCCCAGACAATGAAACTGCCGCTTTCTGGGTTGGAACAGAAGAGGGTGTTGTTTATCAAGCTAATCGATATGGTGGCGCTAGGGGGTGAATATAAATAATTTAATAATTTTATTCCTTTTTATTATTGTATAATTTATTCTAATTGCCTTTTTTTTTGAATTTTTAGCAAAGCTGGCATTAATCAATATGATACTTACAGAGGTCATTGGGGTCCAATTACTGGTCTTCACTTTCATCCTCTTTTTGGTCCAGTCGACTTCTCTGACTTGTTTTTGACATCTTCCGTTGATTGGACTGTGAAATTATGGAGAGCAAAAGTACTTGAAATTCATTTTAATTTATTTGTAAATTCAAAATTATCAAATTATTGATTATTAATATCTTCTTTTTTTGTTTATTTAAAGTCCGTTTCAAAACCATCAACATCACCGCAAGTCATTTCTCCATTACATTCTTTTGAAGGATCAGACGATTATGTTTATGATGTAAAATGGTCACCTTGTCATCCAGCATTGTTTGCCTCAGTTGATGGTACAGGAAAATTCTCTATATGGAATTTGAATGTTGATACTGAGGTAATTTTTTATATCCTTTCATTATCTAATTTTACGTTAAAAGGAAGAGTTTAATAATCGCACGAGAACTAATAACAATAACAATAACAATAATAAAATAATAATAATAATAATAATAATAATAATAATAATAATAATAATAATAATAATAATAATAATAATAAT